CAATAAAACTGTTGAACTGTTCCAACGCTGGTCTCAGTCTGTGCTGTTCTTGGGTCCAACCTCACGCCCATTACACGCCCATTACAGGCTGAGATAGGCTTAACTTTAATGAAAAAACATGTCTGAAAATTTGGAAATAAAACAATTAATTGATTTCTAATGACACCTTTAGATATTTCTATCCAATGCTTTAGTGTGCCACTATAATGTGATGTTTTTATGCTAGAATATCTACATTTGTTGGGTTTTCCAAGCAAATATTGATATATGTGACATGTGATGCATCTAGATCTGCCCCTATCTGCAAATTACATTCACACAATCACAGTAGGCCTACATTCCAGATTACTGAATTGGACTTTCTGGTATTTAACAAGCCTTTAATATATGATTTTCCAGGAGGTTTCAGTCCCTTTTTAATGACAAATCAGATATTTTAGTTCAATATGAGTTCTGATACCATCCATCAATATATGAACAACTATGTTCAATGCTCTGTTAAAGCCTTTGTAGCCTCTGAATGCAACAGGTTGCCCAGCACAGTAAGTACAGTAATGGTTATAAAGATTAGTGTCTGCTATTCATCATCCTTCAACAATAATGACATGTAGAGCTCATTATTCACATGATCACAGTAAATGTACCAGATTATACATTTTTGGCTATCAACTTAGCGATCGGAGACTTTGAATATATGATTTTCAATTAGGTTTATGTTACTTTTTCAATAGAATTTTTTTTGGGATTGACATGAGTACCAATAAAGACTTAGACTTAGACAGACTTTATTTTGATTTGCATCAAAATGAAATTTCGTTGCAATGGCCCATAACACAGCAGGAATTAAGGGTGAGGCAGTATACAAAATAAATATATATATGCAAATATAGGAGAGAGAGAGAGAGAGAGAGAGAAAAGAAAAACAATATAAAGCAGTGATTAAAGTTGAGTAAACAATCTCATCACAAGGTCCCTTTAGCAGCTGTTCCAGAGCTTACAATCACATCCAATGATTTTCATCAGCAGACGCAGTAGCCCATGGGATTATAACTATTGTCTGACTTCTCATTCATATTGTTTTACTGTAAAAGCTGAGGTTTAGAGTTCATTCTCATTGAAAACACTCTAACCTAGGTCCATTTAGTAGCTGTTTGAACATCATATGTGGCTATTTCTAAATGCCACCAAACCTCTAAATATTAAACTGGCCCATAACATGTTTATTAGAGTTCTTGAGTCCCAACTCAAGACCAAAAGTGGTCGTGCTTTTGCAGTCAGGGTCCCCCAGCTCTGGAAGCTGACTGAGGTTTGCTGAATTAAGGACATCTTTGTCAACACATAGCTTTTAAAAAAGACTTTTAAGATTATTATGTTATTATCATTATTATTATTTATCTTATCTTTATCTTGTTTTTTTAATTGTCTGATTTTATTTGCCTAAGTGCAGTTTATTGACAACAGGTTTTATTGTTAGTATTTATCATTGTTCGGGGGTCTTTTATTCCACTGTATTATTTTAGTTGTCTGATGCGTTTTTGCTTTTTCTTTTGATTTTTGAATCCTGGTTCAACCATGAGCAATTGGTTGAATAAATAAAGTCGTAGAGTTGGATATGGGTTCTTATTTAGGGTCAGGGAGCTTTCTAAATTTGTTTTTATTTTATGTTCTCATTTCCCATTTATAAAGCACCTTTCTAGATCAGATGTCATAAAGGTGCTTCACAATATAAGCAAGCAAAAGCAAGATAAATACAGACAATATAAAAATAATAATTAAAATAGAGACACACAGCACATTTGAAGTTCCAAAAGTTTGATAAAGAAAGCTATAAATAGCACCTTGAGCCATCTTGGCTTCCTGATCCTGTGTTAATATAGTTTGGTGAAGACAGCAGAATGTAATCACAGCAGCTTAGCTGCACTCATTAGGAAAAACCTAATAAAAAGACTTTGTAATCAAATCCACCGCTTTTAGCACTGAGCACTTTGAAAAGGCTGCTAACTGGATCTTCAGAGAGCAGCGGTCACGCAGGAGAGAGTGCATCAAATGGAGTTACTTTGGGAAATGGATATGACACAGAGATAGGACGAGAGACATCCAGCACCGTCATAAAATTGTCACTTAAAAGCCAAGTGGTGGCCAAACTGTCTGGCTTGTTTTCCGTCTGCTTCACCTGAAGCTGGGAAATTGTTTTGTTTGATAAACATCATTTTCTCTCAAAATGTGCATCAAAAAAATATCTAAAATCCTTTGCAATCCTTTTTACTTCAAGTTAAGATAGATAGATAAATAGATAGATAGATGCTCTTTTTTCACAGTTCCCTCAGATTCAACATGTCTTCATCATTCTCTAGGATGGGGAAGAGTAAACAATCAGCCGGTGGAAAAGGGCTGCGGTTGCTCAGCTGAGGTGCGGGGGCCCCTGAGGGCCAAAAGCCTGACAACAAACCATATAGCACTGGCCTTCTCCAACATACAATCCTGTCAATCTGCATTGGCACACATGGGCAGAAGAACATCAGACTGACAGGAGCCTCTATCGCATGCCCTGGTGCCTGTTAGAGCACGTCGACTCTAATCACACACGGACATGTGCATGTCGGCTCCGACCAGAAACTCTGCTGACAGGCAAACAGACATGGATATGACACGGCATTGTTGTTTCTCAAAATTTAGGATTTTATTTAGTTTTTGAACTCTGCATGAGCCCCATTGTGAATTCTTCTCATCTCTATTGTCTCCTGAGCACATAAAAGTGAGTAAATGTGACTTCCCTTTTCTGATCACCTGCAGGAAATCAATTCACACACTCATGTTCCATTTAACTCTGAATAATTGCTGTTTTTGTGTTTGTTTTTGTGAGCAGTGAACTGACAAACACATACGAATGACTACTGTTGTTCTCCCATTAACAAGTAAGCAAAGCCGAGCTGGAGAGGAGCTCTGCTGTGCTGTCTACTCAGGCAGAAGTCCTCGTATGGCATTTAACAAGACATGCTATTACCTCATATTATCTAAAGCCACTGCGAGGTGTGAGTCACCCCAGCAAGGGAATCCTGGGTTGAAGAGGATGTTTGTGTGGAGGGAAAAAATGGGCCAGTCGTCACAATGAAGCCACTGCAGCTGCTCTGTATTTATTTTACATTACTAAAATGATAATATCTCAAAATCTCTCTTGATTGATGGAAAGTTATTGTTTGGTCTGGTATTATCATGTAATGTTGTAAGATTTCACCTCTCAGCATGTGATTAGGTGATTACGTTCAACCACAGAAGCAACCTGTGTATTTTGTTGGTTCTGAAGTATGAAGGGAGCTTTTGGGGGTTGGAGAGGAAGGGGGGGGCAGTCCTGGTCCTCTCAGCTCAGTCTGTCATCCTGTGTTATCCCTGCCATCCTTTCACCACCCGATCTACCTGACAGCTCAGTCCTGCAGGCAGAACTGGACTTATGGCCCACAGAAACTCTACACTCCAGTGCACTGAACCCTGCTCCTGACTCAGATGGTGGTTTTCCTGAACATGTTCACACTCATACAATACACACTTGAGAAATTGTTGCTATGTAGGAGTTTCCTGTTCTACAATAAAGCTGAAAAATCACAGTCCATGTGGAATTATTAGGGTTTTTTTCAGGATCTTTGGCATCAAAAATGACACAGTCGCCATCTTGTGGACAATATGCGATACAGGTTTGTTTTTTGTAACTATTATTTAGGAAGAATTAAGTAAATTATAATAGATAAACTGCCTTTGTAGTATTTGTTTTTCTATTTTCTATAACAAAGGTGTTGAAGTAAAGTTATACAAAAGGTCTATGTGCATCAATTTCTTATTATTTTAATGTAGGGAAGGATTGTAACTTTGTTTTCTATGAGTTTGGATTCACTGTGTTTTTGTTTATCATCATTCTATTGATATTGATAGAAATTTGACCTGTTATGTCCCATTTTTTTAACTCCATGTGTATACAGCAACAGGTGCTCTACAAGTGAATGCAGTGAATCCAGTTTCTTGCACATTATAGATACTGAATCTCACTTTCTACTGTATGCACACTGAGACCTAATAAGTGTTGAATTACTTGACTAGATACAATTTTTTAAAAACGTGTGATTTACAGCTACTGGTTCATCACAATATTTTGCCTGCTAGTCTTTTCTTGACCACAAGATGGCGCAAAGATAAAACGTATTCATATCAGGGAAAGCACATAACCCCAATCTCTATTTATTACTGTGTTTAAAAAATACTGTTTTTAGTTCAGGGATAATAGTTATTATTATCTATCTGCGTTGCATAAAATGCATTGATAAAATGATTTCTGTGTGGAATAATATCAATCAAAGATTACTAGTAGATTACTTCTCCTTCAGTGAAACTTCTAATCTTTATGCAGTAAACTAAAGTATCTTAATGGAGAGTATGCTCATAATTTGAATGCCAGACTTTTACCTTAATTCTAATCCTTTTGTGCCGTCCAATGAAAGCCATGCATGTGTCTTTAAGAGGCGTGTGTGCGAGGAGGTGGAGTCGTGATCTACATCGCAGTGTGCAAGCAGCACTCAGCTGATGGGAGGGGTGAAAGCTTGCAGACAGGAGACAGGATCCATGGCAACAATCATGGCAGGTGGGGAGCAAAAAGAACCAAAAAAAAGAAAAGGAAAACATGAAGATTAATATTTTCTAAATGTCTGTGTGTGCTCTTTAGCGAGTGTAGGATGAGTTAAGTTGTGGGGGAAAAAACTGTGGACATGTTTGTGCTGTGTTTCAGAGGCAGAGACCCGTCAGAGGCTGCTGCGCACCGTCAAGAAGGAGGTGGGTGTTTTCAGCTCAGCAGTTATCGAGTCGGAAAAACAAACATGTTGGTTTGTATGAAGCCTTGTAGTTCATCCTGTGCACAGGGAGGCTTCTCATGTGATCCCTAACACTTTGTGTCTGCACTGAATGTGCTGGTTATGACAGCTCATAGATGGGTTGGATGGACACCTCTTTGAGAAGATTAGAAAACAAGCCTTTGTTTAATATTAAAATGACAATATGGTCCTTTAAAGTGTAGTTAATTGTCTTTTAAAATCTGTATCTCTGATTCAGTGTTCCCTGAGTGTTCGTGCTGCAGCTCAGTAATTATTCGGGTGGAGAAGCACCATGAAGCAAACAGATTGTCTGTAGTCAGTGTTTGTGGTGTTTATGGCAGAGCAAACCATCAGCCTTCTGCCAAGCCATTTGGTGATTTCAGTTAGACACAAACTGTGTGTGTGTGTGTGTGCGCGTGCGCGTGCGTGATTGATGCATGTAATGAGTTATATGGTGATGAGTGGAAACAAATATGGAAGCAGCTCTGGTGGGGTTTTTAACCCTTCGTCATATTCAAGTATTAACACAAGCTCAGAGTTCAGCAGAGATCAAATGAAATGTCACTAACATTCAGGCTGTCTGACACTCAAACCTTTAAACCACTTATCTTCTTGAAGGCCCCAAATGTTGGTTAAAAAAAACACTTTACAATTGATGTCATGTTATTGACTGTTTCGAAAATGCCACCTGTCACCATTTTGGATAGAAGCTCCAGTTACACGAGAGTCCATCAGGAGATAGAAGAATGATTCACTTCTTCTACTATCATTGTTGTTCTTTTTTAAGAAAACTGCTTAAGAGTCTTCAAGTCACTGGACCTGCTTATTATTGCTTAATATGTTCACATTTTTAGGGGCCTGCTGCCCTTCAGTGTTCATCTGACATGAAGGATTGCAGCTGTCAAAAAATTCAAATTCCAGCTTTTATTTTTGGTAAACCACTGCATTTAGACCACAGAATTTGGTTCCACTGGCTATTTGTAAATTTAAATTTACCATTTACCTCGGAGTTGACCTCGTTCCAGCACTAGAAGTCGGAAAAGCAAGCTCCAGCCAGGTTAACAGTTAGCCATTGTTAGTAGTACCAGTTGATAAGAACGCATTACGCTGTATTTTACTCATAGAAACATGTCCATAGACAGAATTTGGACAGTACTAATTGTGCTAATAAACAGTATTAATACAATTTTCACTTAGTTCATGCTTGGAGCAGCCATCTTGGATTTTGTAGTCGGGTTGGTTAGGTTCTCCCGACTTTCCTAGCTGGAAATCCAACTTCAGGGGGCGATCCAGTTGAAATTTTGCAACTGGGAATAAGTGTGTTTGATTTACGAAACCAAATCGCAACATTAAAACCTAAAAAATGTCAGATATGTCGAACAGTTATACCTGACGTTTACTGCGTGTAAATATTATATATGTAATATTTTCTATGAAAGAATAAGTTTGTGTGGTGAACCCTGTTCTTGGAACACTAACCATTAAAACTAGGTTAAGTTCTAGCAGGGAAACTAAAACAGATTGTGATTTTATAGTTAAACAAACAAAATTATATTGAAGATGGATGACAGTTAATTTTTTTAATAAAAGCTGAATATCACCTTGACATATCAGCAAACTGATGTTTGTGTCACTCCATTGTCTCTCCATTGTGTACTTCATGGTCGCTCCTGTTGAGGGTTTTGTTCCCTTTGTTTGTCCAGGGAAGGATTTTCTCAAAATCATCAGCACCTCACAATATGTATTCAACTGTGGGAGCTTTCTAATATAACCTAAACTCTTCTGTTATTGTTGGTTTTAACATTAATAATAGTTTATTGGAGTGGGAAGTGTTACTCATTTCCTTTTGCTGGCTAGATTTTTACTTCCAAGTCCAGACCAACACAATTGAACAATTGATGGATTTATTTAATTAGTTTAATCTCAGACTGCCTCATAAATCGCAAGACTTTATTTCTTCCAAACAAACAAAGATAAAAATCTAATCCTAGATCTTGTGAAAGGAGGAATGTAGAGACTTTGGTCTGATTTGTTTTTCCCTCTGAGTCATGTTTGCAGTCTTATCAGTGGAGACCAGACCCTTCCCATGATTAAACCTGCCTCCTGTGTGCTGAAACAACCTCCCTTAGCTTCATTCACGGTGGCTCTCTCACTGTTTACCACAAATGCAGCCTAATGGAGTCTGTGGATGGACCAGCAGCACAGTATGATAGCTCACTTTATTCACAGATGGCACTTCATGAAAATCAGTATTAATCTAGAGGATTTAAATTTATTAGTAGGTTTGTTTTGTAGATGCAGGAAAGATAGATGCTGTTGTTTGTACCATTTTCCCATTAGTTTATGCTTATTATTATTCTGTGTGGGTTATACCATATGGTGTGTGTTCTCACGCTCTCCTTGTCCAGCTGGTTATGTGCCACCAGTCTGCTCAGATATACCTGGATGTGGGCCATCATCCAGAGAGCGCACGACGCCTGTCGTCTGTGGCACCAGAATTACATTCTGTCACAACGTTGGATTGAATGAGATCTCTTATTTGTCTTGTCTTTTGATACAGAACCCTTTCTGTCTGTCTCTGTCTCCTTTATCTTGCTCAGATTGTGCCTCTGAATTGTGCTCCTCCCTCTGTCTTTTTGCATATCACACGTGCACACAAACACAAATACACACCTGTGTTTGCTAAAGGAGAGAGGGAGAGGGGGGAGAGAGAGACTATTAGAGAACAGGCCACAGAGATCTGAACCATTTACTTTGCTGTTTCGCTTTTCTTTATTTCTTTTTTTTAAGGCTGAGTGCTTACTCAGGATAAGGTTTCAGGCAGCGGAGTGTAAGATAATCCACCCGTCTTGTTTAGTGATTTCTGCTCAAAGATATTTTCTGATTCCTGGTAGCATGTTGATAGAAAACATTCAGAGTTGTTTCAAACTGCAGGAACAAGCTGCAGGGAAATCATCTCATATTATTGTTGTAATAGATACTGATAGAGATTATTACACTATGAGACTATTATACAGTTCTGACCTTTTCTAAGGTGAATGTGTTCATAAGGAGGTTTTGGTATGAGTGAAGTAGGATTACCTGGCTGGAGGAGAAAGTGATAACACGGCTTGTACGCCACAAACTGAACTACAAGGTGCTGCTGGTTTGACAGTTAAAGTAATGCTTAATAAACCGGATGACCAAAGCTTTGCAGCAGCTTTATGTGATACTGTATGTGAGATTCTGCGGTTGAGCGAGTTCTCGGCTGAAACGAGTAGCCGGTACAGATAATGTACTTTTATGAGCATCAAACGAGTAAAATGTGTCAGTATCCGCAATTAAAATAAATATAGCTCTTTAAACAGTTCTCTTACTTAGTGATTAAATCATAAATTAAGATAAAGGAGATACATTCTGAGGCTGTTCTGTAGTTTTTTAATAAATATAGCAACTTCTGATCATCCAATATCAATTTTAGGTTTGAATAACTTCCATTTGGCCCCGCCCAGTTATGATTTAAGCACCACCCACATCTGATTTAAGCCCCGCTCCTTTTGAGTACGGACCCTTATACAGATAAATGAGTTGGTTGAACAGATGCATACAATGATGTACTCGCTCATCCCAACTTAAGCCAACATGGACATAAAAAAACTGATTTGAACATTTAAACTGGGAAAGTGCTGAAGAAGATCATGTGATCTGACATGATCATGTCCACTGTTTTTCATTCATTATTAAATTATTCTTCAGACAATAAAGTCTTATATGTTTAAATCATAAGTGCACACTAACTCTGCATGGATTAACATTCTTAACTTATGATGATTTTCCCCCCCCGTTGCGCTGTTCATTCATCAGCAGCCACAGAGATGATGAATAATGAAGGCTCGGATGTTAATGGATGAGGCTTTCTCTCTGGCTCTTATTTCTTGGCTCTGCTGTTGCAGGAGTTAATTGGAATACTCTGAAGATATTTTATCACTCTGGCTGATGCCTTTAAGCTACTGCGGCTAGTTAGAGCACATTCATAAGGCTTTGCTGCTATGACAGAGACGTTTAATGACCGTTGTTATGTATTGTTATGTATTATGTATATATTTTGGGGGGACACGTTAGTAGATATGGCTACTCCAAAAATACATCTAGGTAAGATTTGTGTTTGTTTCTTTACTGATACCAAATTAAAACACTGAGACTCTAGCCGGCTGAATAACGTGTTAAAATGACGACAGCACAGTGCGTTGAGATATTATTAGTTACTGTAGTTGGGGAGCTGCAGTGATTTTTGTTTATTTCAGAGGTGAATGAATGTTGTTGACGCATCTTCTTAAGCGGAAGTGCTCCACCGTGCGACACGTGCTGTCTCCATAGAAACCTGCAGGTTGTCTGTGCTTAGACACTTCACCATATTAAATTCCTCAGTGGCCTGATCTGTAGCCCAGATGAGAGAGATGAGAAAACACAAGGAGGAGTCTTGTGTCCTCAAGTTGGCAAATCAATCAGCTTCCTGTATGTCAGGTGCACTCAGAAAGAAAACTAACTCTCTGTGTGTTTGTGTGTGTGCTGGCTTTTATATAAGTGCGATCGTGAGCAGAGCGGGTGTGCATAACATGAGACTGGCACTGTCTCTGTTGTGTTGGCAGAATGAATCACTTCTGTTGATGCCGAAGATAACAATGCGACTGATGCAAACAGGCCAAATATGCGTAATGTCTGCTGTCTAATTAGTGAATGTTTCTTTATATAAATGTTTTCAGGGTTCTGGTCACATTGTGTTTCCAAGTGCTTTCTAAACCTTTTTTTAGTAAGTTTTGTTTTTTTTCACAAGGGAGAGATTGAGCCAGTTTTAGGTCCTTGTCTTGCTTTAACAGTGAGGGTGCAATCAGTGCTCATCACGGAAAAACAAGTAGTTGTGGCTCACAGTTAAATCATCACGGCCTGTTTTTATTGTTCTCCTTTTATTCAGTTAAATTAACTTTATATAGTAGGCTTCGGCATTTTGACAATATATATGTTATACTCTGTGTTAAATTTGTTAAGTGTCTTTTTCAACGTGCAGTACTTTCAAAATCTCTGGTTTCAAAGGATTTTAGTAACAGTTTGATAAAGCTGCTTGTTTGTTTTTTAACTGGGTTATCCAAAAACAGGCATTCAAACAGTATCTATAAATGGCTGCCTTATTCATTTTTCAGAAAACACACTGCATAATTAAACATTTATCCATATCACACTATATAAAGTTTCCAGTGGTGGAAAGTACCTCAAGTATTTTATTTACTTTTTTGATAATCTCCTTTTTATGCTACTTCCACTTTTCTGCACTTCTGAGAGGAACTTTATTGGCTACTTTTTACTCCACTACATTTATTACTAGGTGTAAGTTCAATGATAAAAGACATTTACATGAAAATAATACAATTTATTGATTTCTAATGCCACTTTTAGGTATTATTATTCAATGCTTTACTAATATGCCACAATGTCTTTCAGTTAAAATATCTTCGTTTGAAGGCTTTTCCAAGCAAATATTGA